GGAATGGTTCCATGCAAGTGGTAGGCATGTGCACATGCAGCTCCATTTACGCTTGCACAAATGGAGCTTCACTCATATGGCCCCGTTCTGAACGGGCTGCGGCCTACTACAGCCCACATTGACGATCCATGCTCTAAGAGACCCACTATTGTGCTTTTACTCCCATTCTTTCGAATGTGGGTTCTTGTTCAGTGCAGGTTCCCTGTTAAGTCTCTGATGTCAAGGCAAGGAGTCGATCAGAAGCTTCTGAAAATAAAACGGGGAACTGGCCTCCACCACAAAAGGAGGAATATCAAGTGAATATCAAATGAGTATCAAACAATACCAGTGCTTCACATAAAACCTGGTGATTTGCACTCATTTTTCCATAATTGGACTCAATAATATTGCACATAGATTGCAATTTCACAATCACATAACAACAAACTTTTTCTTAGGAGCACCCACTTCAATATTATCAGAGCATCATCCTCAAGAGATTTCACTGACCGAATGCATTCTTCTATAGAAGTCAAAGTAGCTTCATTCAAAGAGGATAAGACTATTCTTGTATTCTGTTTGTTAGGCATAATTACTGCATTTTCAAGGGGGAAACTACGCGGAAACATACGCAAGTTTAAGATTGTTTATCTACAGCAACTCATCCAAAGTTCCCTCTGACTATTAACACTCAGTAGGGAAGGGGGAGAAAAAACAAATAGGGGAGCTACTTAAGCCTCCATGTTACTGGAAGCTACTCTATTCTAAATGTCTCAAAACTGTCAGCCCTCAGACTGTTCTGCCTTTGCACTGCACTGGTATTTCTCCTTCTACTGACAGGCCTGTTGTGGTTCCAGGAGATAAAATTCACCTTGCATTGGAGCATGCTGTGTATGAGTTCTTTTCCACAGAATTCCGTTTCATCATCAATCACCAGTTTCTTCTATAAAAAAAAATGTGGGGAAAATGAATCAAAATGTGTACTGCATTTGCTTTAAGTCCAAGACTGTGTAACATTCCCAACTCAAAAGAAGAAAATGTGATCCAGAATCATGGAGGACCTACACATTGTATTTGATGGTACCTCTTATATCAAACGTTTCTCTTCCCAGGATTGCTGACAGCATCAGCCTAAGCCCAGGAGAAGAGACCCCCTTTTTATAATAAGTTGCTAACTGGTGCAACTTGCATGAATCATCATTTCCCATCTGAATCATTACACAGTCTTAACAAGATCATCACTTTTTTTTAAGATATGGTATTGTTAACAAAATTTAAGACTGAACCAAAACAGTGAAGGAAGAACAATTTACAAACAATGTAAACTCCATTAAGACAATGTACACATTTTAGACACTGGGGCGTTTGGAGTGCTTGCAAATAAGAAATGTTCAGTCATTCAGCATGAGAAAAGGAAGCCCTGCCTCATCCTGATGTAGTTTCACAAACTCATCACCATCAGTGCATTGGCCACAGTGTTCCTGATTTTGGAGCACCTGGTCAGAAAGAGATGCTTAATCTACATAAACAGTCTTACTATAAAAACCACCATAGGGAGCCCAAACGTTTGCTTATCACATATAAATGGATACAAAAAGAAATAAAGCTTTGTGGGTCAGGGAGAAGGGAATCTGTAAAATTAAGCTGACTCTTAAAGTATACTTTTTCATATCCTATTAGTATTTCACAACTACAGAATGAGTTATAGCAGCTGAACTGGAACAGAAGCATTCCTTATTCCTCCCTTCAAAGCCCCTTCCCTGATATGATCTCAAAATTCTACTTCACAGAATTCTGAGAGCAAGAGGGACAATTTATTAAGACTTTACATGAAATTGAGATTCATCTAACATACACAAGGCTAACAAAATATTCATTTTATACCAAGTTCAATGCATAGACAGCTCAAATTCAAACCTATTGTTCTATCTTATAGAAAAAACTCAGAGACAATACTAATAGTTTATATCTACATCTTGAACACTCTTGGGAGTTGGGCAGCATATAATTTTAATACATTATTTCATTATCATCTTCATCATCATCATTTTTATAATAGGAAATATGAAATATTTATATTTTATAATAGGAAATACTTTCAGATATGGAAATAAGAAGTCTACCTTAATTGTATTTTTCCATACATGAACAATGACAGATCCATTCAGTGTTAAGTAGCAGGCATGGCATATTTTCAGTCTGAGCAACAGGGAGGAAGCAAGCTTATATAAATTCCCCTAAGAATATAGTATCTCAGCAGTAGTCAGCACATCATTTAACAATATGCCAATATCCAATGGAGGGAAAAAACTATTCATCTCTCTGCTATTACTTACATTCTGAGCTACACTGCCACCTTTTAGAATATGTAAATATTGAAGAGCAATGGTCTATGCCAGACAGACAAATGGCATTCTACAAAATGAGAATATCAATGGAGCAAATGTGATTTCCTATTGCTCTATTGAAGCAGCTTGTCGCATTATTCAAGCTTTCACAAATACAGTAATCAGAGGAGTGAAGAGGCACTATTATATAATTTGAAACTGACAAACAAGGGCAGCCAGCCATACACTCAAGTGCATCAAGATGCTTATTTCATAGGGAGTACGGGCTGTGAAGGGTCTCCCAAGCACAAAGCATGAATATGTATACCAGCCACAAAAAAATATACACAACGCTTCTTTGGCACATAAGAAAATAAAACAATTCTGTTTACAAGTACTTTTATAAAATAACATTAAAGAATTATAATTATTTTCCAGGCTTTATGGATGCTCAGTCCTATGGCTACAAAGTTGACTTGGCAAACATGAGCTAGATGTAAAAATAAAAATGGAACCATGTATGATATCCTGAAAGAACAGAATTAAAATATTGGTGGGAGGGGGAGGGAAGCCTTCAGTGGAAATTCATTTAAATAGAATTTCATTAAAATCAGACACTAAAAAATGTGAAGTGTAGGTCTCACCAATAATTGTATTTAGAGGTTACAAAGATCAAGGTATTCTACTTAAAATTATTAAATTTATTATTTTAATATACTTTCAGTTTCAATTTTATTTAATAAAATATTATTATATTATATTATATTTATTATATTTGTTATATTATATTTATTATAATATATTTATTATATTATATTTATTGTATTATATTTATTATATTATATTTATTATATATTTATTATATTTATTATATTATAATTTTCCACCTGAAATATCTTTAAGCATACTTGGCCACCTTTCTGATTTTTAACTAGCACTTTTCATTCTTAACCAATTCAGCATTTAATTTTTTGTTTGTTTGTTTACCTAAGCAACTAAAGAAATTTATATTCATGCTATGTTGTCATTGATCATTAAAAATTATCCATTTATTTTTCACTCTTTTATTTCCAGGACTATGCTTTTCAGCAGATCAATTACATTTCTTTATCTCCTGACTGATCTTTCAGTAGTTTAAAAAAAATCATGGAACAAAAACATAACTATTTTAGTTTCTGTGTATCAGTGTTCTAACAATTTTTCAGGCCCTGCTTAACAATCTTCATTATACATTAACATATTTTATCTTTCTTAGAACTTTTTTATTACTTCTGATTATAGATTTCTTTATCTACAATATTTTTGCTTTGTTTTTCTGTAAACATCAGTAATAAAGATTTGGCAGTGATTATTTCCTTTGTTGTGCAATCTGAATACCTTTCCTATCGTCATCCAATCCTTCATTTCTTCAGCATCTGGAATTTCTGTGGTACATTCTGGGCACCAGTCCACCTGCTCATAAGCACTAGCCTGTGCACAAGAGAAAGATGATTTCAAAAGAGAGCCTATAAGTATAATATATCTGGCTCAGCGTCTACCCATAGATCAGAAAACCAACCTCATTCCAATTTTTACTAGAGTGCTTGGAGAGAATCAGATTTCTTACTCTTATTATAGGTATCGAAACATTCTCCTCATCCAAGAATAGAAATCAGTGTCTGATTTTAGATAGTAAATCCTCAAATGAGGATTTTTATAATGAACTTTACCTGAGTCATTAGTACAAAGAAAAATATCTATCAGATCTCTTCACAATAGGATATTCTGAGAACAGAATATCAGGAGGAGATTTAAAGGAAAAGCAATTACCTCTGGCTCATCTTGCCAGTTGATGTTCATCTCTCCATCAAATCCTTTCAGAATGAGTCCCAATCCACGCCTTCCTTTTTGTTGGGAGGCTTCTACAATCTCTTGCCTTCCCTGGCCATATTTGCCAAGACCTTCACCTTCTCGAAAGCCCATCTTAGCCTACAAGGTAGTAGAAAAGTTATTTTATGTCCTTCTGCTACTTTTCAGCAAAGAGCACTTTGATTAAAAATATTTTTTACAGAAGATTTCCAGATTCTCCTTTCAAATATATTCAACTTAACCAATAGGAAAATTATATCTAGAAAATGAAGCAGAAAAAAACAAATGATGAAATAAAACTATTACAAATAAAGAACCTGCAGAGAACACAGTAGTTATTTCTTACTATACTTGCGAGGCATCTTCATTTAACTATATTCAGTTGTCTTCCTTCAGTGCCGAGTTTCTTCTGGAACCTAACATTTTTATCCAGAGATAACAATATGACTTCCATATGCCAAATTACACTTAAAGAACAATATGCCCATTTTGTGTAAGGGAACATAAAGATCCTATCCTATATAAAATCCAGAACTATCTTCTAAAACCCTAACAAATACACAGACTCAGCCAACACCCTACAAGCACACTTACAAATGAGTGTTTTGCAAACTAAAAAATCCTTTTAAATCTATTTCAAAAAGTCATCAAGAAATAATTAAAACAGANAAAAATGATTACCTAACTTTCAGAAGGAAAGTAGAAGGATGTTTACTAAAAGGAAAGGCATTTTTCTTATCCCAATACTGCAGGTTTTTCCTATTCTTAGATAATTAATGTTCTTGCAGAAAACCATGCATCCATTGAGGATGGACTTTTTTAATGAAAACAATTTTGTGTGCTTACCATAGTAAGGCTCAAAAAGCTCACTAGATGCAGCATAGAAATCCTCCAATTTGAAATCGTTTGGTCCTTTTAAGGTCATCCCAAAACCTTTTGCATGCCACTTCTTCCTCCAGAGGACATATTCTGAGAAACCACCAGGGCCAGCACATACATCAGCAAAATATAGCAGTTCAGCAGAACGCTCTTTAATTAGTGGTTTCTGCAAACAGAAAAGATAAGAATTCAATCACCGCAACTGAATCAATCTCCCAAGTAAATAGTTGCTGATATCAATCTGTTAAATTGCTTAGCTTCTAAGGTGCTTAATCAACTACCATTTCAATAAAGCTCTAAGGATTTTCCTACTCACTGTTCCCATTCAGAGAAGGCACCAGAGATACACAAATAAATGAAAACCCTCACCCCATGGGAATCCTTTGGGTTTGTAAACATGTAGTCGAAGACATAATCTATGTTTGCCATCTTCATTGCAGCTCTGTAAGTGTAAGATGGGCACTTGTTAAGAGTTTGCCCTTAACTGACCAGATATGTCGCAATGTGTAGTCTATTCACTGACCTGTTTAGGAAGAAGGCTCCGCGGATCATCTCATAGGGATTGGATCTTGTACGAGCTCGACGCATCTCCTCTCCATCCAGCACATCAAAAACAGTCTGCAAAAAGAAATTAGAAAATCTAATCTAAACAGGGAAGGGCACCTAAACAGAACATTTTTCTTTTCCATACTTGGAACTTTACAGAACCCAATTAGAGGGACAATTAGCAATGGACCATTCGTTCTTTCGTCGGAATGTAAGCTTCATTAAGTAGACAAGGCCAAAAAAATTCAACTCCAGAGAATTGCTAAAAATACTTTTATTGAGATTGGCTACAATAACAGAATAAAAGAGCAGAGCACAAAGAGGGTACACAAGTAGGCAAGGAAAACCAGGGCTGGGGAAGGGGAGCTATGAAAGACGGTTCCACCACAAAACCACGGACGACAAAATCGCGGTCGACGAAAGCGCGTATGTGACGTCATCACAGCGCGACGAAAAAGATCGAAAAATGAAAAAATAAAGCGAAAACCTTACCCTAACCCCCCCAAACCTAACCCTAAACCTAACCCTAAACCTAACCCTTAACCTAACCCTAAACCTAACCCTAAACCTAACCCTTAACCTAACGAAAAACCTAACGCTAACCCTTAACCTAACGCTAAACGTAACGCTAACGCTCTAAACCTAACCCTAACCCTTAACCTAACCCTTACCTTTATGTGAATCGGCTTGCTGTAATTTAATTTTTATTTCAATTTTTCGATCTTTTTCGTTGCGTTGTGATGACGTCACATACGCGATTTCGTCGACCGCGCTTTTGTGGAACGCAGTTTTGACGGGTCACGATGAAAGACAGGTTCTGGCATGGAAGGGGATGCTTGCTAGTGAGGAGAGTGCCAGGAACAAAAATGGCCCAATGTATCATGCTGCCAATTTTCATATGCAACCTCAAAGCAGCAAATTTTTCTTCCATAGCTGGATCGCATCAACTTTCAGAGATGACAGTGGAGGCCTACAAAATGGCAGGTAGTTACACGTACACCTCAATCTTGGTACACAACTACCAAATATCCTGGATGATTAGACCAAGGGTCTTATAAATCCAAAATCTCCTGCCACAGCTGTTATGCCAGGTGTAGCATTTCCTCTTGTAATTGCACCAAAGGCAAATAAAGGTGACCATAATAACGCAAGAAACCATCCTCAGACTTAAATAGAGGTACAGTATTTTGGACTGGTCCAGGTTGCACTGGTGTGCTAAAGCTGAGCCTGAGTGAAATGGTTTCTTCCTGCAGGTTTCAAATATGTGCTGTCAAGAAGGTGGATGCAAAGTTTTCTAGCTGCAGGATTCTGGCTGTGAAGAGCATCAGCTCCATCATTTGAGAGCATGGACAAGGCATCTTCCCGTTTGCATGGGGCTGACACACATAGATCCCAAAGTTGGAAGCAGGAGAATAAGGCAGACCATCAAACCTGGCAATAACTGAGTTGACAGGCTGTGCATAGTTGCTCCAGGTTCTAGTGGTTGGATCATATATGTACTGGCCATAATGAGTCTTCAGATGTTGCTTCCAAACCTTGAAAGTACCCTTGAGAGTGAGCAGCTCTTCCAATATGGTGTCACTGATTACATCTGCAGTAGAGGTGATTCATTTGGCGTTGTGCCCTACAAGAGCAATGTTAGGGGCAGGCACTATAAAGATAGCACTTTATACTACCTTTATACTGGGGTCTGGGTGCTGAAGGAGTACGGATACAAACATCTCCAGTTACTGGAAAATGTCATTCGAATGGCTCTCTGTTTCACAGTGGACCAGAGAAGGAAGTAATGATATGCGAGAAAGCAGAAATAAACTTGTAAGAGAAGTTTGCAATATCTAGGAACCGCCACACATCATCTTCGACACTTGAGAATGTTGTTACATTGTTACTTGGTTTACTTGAACCTTGATAGATCTATGCCCAGGCTTTCAGGTGAAAATGAAATAGCCCAGGAGTGGCAAGATCAAATGTGCACTTTCCAGCCTGGAGTACAGACAATACTTTTCGAGACACTGCAGGATAAATTTGACATATATTCCTGTGGTACCCTTGAGTAGATCAAGATGTTGTCCAGGCAAATAATCGCTAACTGAAGACTTCATGAAAAGTTGATAGACCATCAGGATTTACAGAGTCTGAATGGCATGACCAAGTATTTGAAATGGCTAAAACCAGTGGGCAAAGTGATAATCCCCTTTCTTGATCTAGAGCACAGTACACTCCATGACGCTCCAGTATGGTGATGACAATCGCAGAGAATAATTATTGTAGGAGATCCAAGATCAGCAGAAGAGAACATTGGTGGCAGAGAGTTATGTAATTTAGGTATAGTCATTACAAAGATGAAGCTCTCCCTTGCAAATTTATTCTTCAAAAATAGGACAGAGACTTCTGCTGGGGAGGTAACACAACAGATAATCCTGTTCTGCACATTTTTCTCAATGGATTCACAGACATCCACTAGCTCTAGCTCAGAAAGTACATATAGATAATATTTGGGATAGTTGCTCTGGGGACAAAATTTATTGTGCAACCATAGTAGGTGTGGGGAAAGATGGTCACTCTGCTTGGTACCGGATACATCCTGGAATCCCACGTTCTGCATCAGCAGCAGTTTGGGAAACTTTACTATGAATGGTACTTGAGTGGTCTATGCAGGTTTCCATATGATCACATCTGAGTGATATCCCTGCTCTATTATTACTTGATGCAGCTAGCAGTTGTGATTGCTAATATGGCAGTGTGCCAAGAGGGCCCAACGGGCAGTGGGACACCAAAATACCTCTAAGCAGATCGCCATATTAGCAATCACAACTGCTAGATGAATCAGGTGATCACAAAGCATTCGGTTCTCTTTGTTATATTTTGTCAGTCAGACTGCATGGTGTTCATATGGAGAAATAGGACCAAAAGCAAATTTTCACGGTCCAGTTCCAGAGCATTTGGCCACCAGTGGTCTAGGAACATACTATACCACTATGCACAGGGCTTTATGAGGAGCTGGAGTTAAACATACACTAGAGGTGTGCTTTGGGTATGTAGCTGGCAACCAGGAGATGAAGATCAGGGCATGAAAATAGTGCATATGTAGACCAGATGAAGAAAATAAGATGAAAAAACAGGAGTGGAGTTACTGGTAAGACATGGAATGTGCATTTGCGTGCCAGGGAAAATTCTGACAAAAAAATACATATTTGCATGTGAATTTCTGGTTTCTATAAATTAATAAGCCTATCTCGTATGAAAATTACCAGGAAGAGAATCCCTCCTCCTCCTCCCCCCCCCCTGCCCAAAAGTAGAATGTCAGTTAGAAGCCTCACATATCCTTCTAACCAAACCTGCTACCTTGGAAGAGATACCTAGGTCCAATGAAGGTGAAGTCATACCTACACCAGATGACGAATCAAGTTCTGACTTTGAAGATGATACAAGACTAAAACTGTTTTCTCAGGAGGAGATGAATGATTTGGTAAGAGGCTTGAATCTTCCCAAAGATGCCGCTGAGTTACTTGGATCAAGGCTGAAAAGCAGGAATTTATTGTTGCTGAGTGTCACCTTCATGGTTCAGACATCGTGAAAAGTTCGTTCCTTACT